TTTTCAGTACGAGGACAACACTCGAAGAACACGCCCCAGCTCCAGCTCGAACATCGGAAGTTTTCAGTACAAATGCAGTGTGCAAAGATACGCAAAGTACACTTACCCAGCTCCAGCTGGAACAGTGCAACTCTCAGTACGAGTGCAGTGTGCGAAGTGCACTTTCACCTGTTTCTTGGGTTCTCGGCTGCTTGACTTGTAAGCTGCTGCCTGTCTCTGTGCAGGTCCCACTGTGTTGCTACAACAATCAATCTTGGCCAAGTCGGCAACGGCACAGACAACCAAATTGAAGGGTATTGTTTTTCCCGAAAGCATGGCGAAGGGTTCTTCCGCTGGGTTCACTTGAGTTGTTCTCATGAGAGTCATTACAAGGTGTCATTGCAAGGAATCATCATCATGAAAGTCAATGCAAGGAGTCATTGCAAGGAGTCATTGCAAGGAGTCATTGCAAGGAGTCATTGCAAGGAGTCATTGCAAGGAGCAAGGAGTCATTGCAAGGAGTCATTGCAAGGAGTGCAAGGAGTCAGTGAGTCATTGCAAGGAGTCATTGCAAGGAGTCATTGCAAGGAGTCATTGCAAGGAGTCATTGCAAGGAGTCATTGCAAGGAGTCATTGCAAGGAGTCATTGCAAGGAGTCATTGCAAGGAGTCATTGCAAAGTCATCATTGCAAGGAGTCATTGCAAGGAGTCATTGCAAGGAGTCATTGCAAGGAGTCATTGCAAGGAGTCATTGCAAGAAGTCATTGCAAGGAGTCATTGCAAGGAGTCATTGCAAGGAGTCATGAGAGTCATTGCGAGCTGCGCATGGAGTCAAGTGCAAGTTGCAAGTGCAAGGAGTCAAGTGCAAGTTGCAAGTGCAAGGAGTTAGGTGCAAGTTGCAAGTGCATGCAGTCAAGTGCAAGTTGCAAGTGCATGGAGCCAAGTGCAAGTTGCAAGTGTAAGGAGTCGAGTGCAAGTTGCAAGTGCAAGGAGTCAAGTGCAATTGACTTGCGAGGAGTTAAAATCTCTTCTTAGGGCGGCGGGGTAGTGCCGACACTACACGAAAATCGACCCTCTGCGGGGATCGGCGTGGTCGAGGTGCAAAAACCCAAGGTTTTTTGCGATGTTTAACCTGCTCGCGCGACCCTCTGCGGGGATCGGCGTGGTCGAGGTGCAAAAACCCATGGTTTTTTGCGATTTCTGCGCTGCTCGCGCGACCATCTGCGGGGATCGGCGTGCTCGAGGTGCAAAAACCCATGGTTTTTTGCGATTTCTGCGGTGCTCGCGCGACCCTCTGCGGGGATCGGCGTGGTCGAGGTGCAAAAACCCATGGTTTTTTTGCGATTTCTAACATGCTCGCGCGACCCTCTGCGGGGATCGGCGTGGTCGAGGTGCAAAAACTCGAGGTTTTTTGCGATTTCTGCGGTGCTCGCGCGACCCTCTGCGGGGATCGGCGTGGTCGAGGTGCAAAAACCCATGGTTTTTTGCGATTTCTAAAGTTCCCGCGCGACCCTCTGCGGGGATCGGCGTGGTCGAGGTGCAAAAACTCGAGGTTTTTTTTGCGATTTCTGCGGTGCTCGCGCAACCCTCTGCGGGGATCGGCGTGGTCGAGGTGCAAAAACTCGAGGTTTTTTGCGAGGTTTTTGCGACTTTTGTTGTTCGAACTGGTCCTCGGGAGTTGTCTCGTGGTTCGCGCGCCTGCTCCCGGAACCGGCGGGTCGCGGGTTCGATTCCTCCCTGGTCCGCGGGCGGGCGTCGCAAGATGCAACTTGCATTTTAAAGCAACTTGCGCAGAGCAACTTGCGCAGAGCAAGTTGCACAGAGCAACTTGCGCAGACCAACTTGCACCGACCAGTTTGCGCAGAGCGCCTTGCCTAGAGCAACTTGCGCAGAGCAACTTACGCAGAGCAACTTGCACAGAGCAACTTGCACAGAGCAGCTTGCACAGAGCAACTTGCAGGGAGCGCAATTTGCACAGAGCAACTTGCAGGGAGCCACTTGCAGGGACCAACTTGCCGGAGCAACTTGCGCGGAGCAACTTGCGCAGAGCAACTTGCACAGTGCAACTTGCGTAGAGCAACTTGCGCAGACCAACTTGCACCGACCAGTTTTGCGCAGAGCACCTTGCCTGGTGCTGTCTCGCGCCAACTTGCACACACTGCAACTCGCACAGAGCAACTTGCGCAAAGCAACTTGCGCAGAGCAACTTGCGCATGTGCCAGGCCGGGGTTAAACAAGTTTACCGCACATCGTGGGGAGTTATGCTTTCAGGCCACTCACTTGTAGGAGTTTGACGCAAGGAGTTCTCATCATGAAAGAAGTTGCGGGGAGCATGGCGCACACGGCTTATTTACGGGCATGGCGCACACGGCTGGTTGTTATGTGGCATCTTGCGGATGATCATCGAGATTTGGCTCAAACAGAAGTCATGGAGCTCGAAGTAGCTAGGCTTCAGGCTGGCGCGGCCCAGCATGGCAAAGCGTGGCTGCAGCAAGAGGTGGCGGCCAAAGCCCAACCCCAACTTCGCGCACTTGCCCGACAGCTGGATGTGCGCCAATGGGTCGCAGGCAGCAACGTGACCAAGGCAGACCTAGCTGCCGCTGTCGTGGAGAAGCTGTGCCCACAGGCCAGGATCGAAATCTGGAGGGTTTTGCTGGTGTTTGCTTTGCTGTGCTGATTGTTGCCAGGAGCCGAGCAGTTCTGCGGCTTCGCCGACGCCGGTGTCTCGACTTGGTCGTAGTCAGTGTTTGACGCTATTCCCGAAAGCATGGCGAAGGGTTCTTCCGCTGGGTTCACTTGAGTTGTTCTCATGAGAGTCATTACAAGGTGTCATTGCAAGGAATCATCATCATGAAAGTCATTGCAAGGAGTCATTGCAAGGAGTCATTGCAAGGAGTCATTGCAAGGAGTCATTGCAGGAGTCATTGCAAGGAGTCATTGCAAGGAGTCATTGCAAGGAGTCATTGCAAGGAGTCATTGCAAGGAGTCATTGCAAGGAGTCATTGCAAGGAGTCATTGCAAGGAGTCATTGCAAGGAGTCATTGCAAGGAGTCATTGCAAGGAGTCATTGCAAGGAGTCATTGCAAGGAGTCATGGCAAGGATTGCAACTTGCACTTGACTCCTTGCACTTGCAACTTGCACTTGACTCCTTGCACTTGCAACTTGCACTTGACTCCTTGCACTTGCAACTTGCACTTGACTCCATGCACTTGCAACTTGCACTTGACTCCATGCACTTGGCTCCTTGCACTTGGCTCCTTGCACTTGGCCCCTTGCACTTGCAACTTGCTTAACTCCGTGCACTTGCGACTTGCACTTGACTCCATGCACTTGGCTCCTTGCAACTTGCAATGGCTCTCATGACTCCTTGCAATGACTCCTTGCAATGACTCCTTGCAATGACTGCTTGTAATGAATTCTTGCCATGACTCCTTGCAATGACTCTTTGCAATGACTCCTTGCAATGACTCCTTGCAATGACTCCTTGAAACAAGCAAGGAGTCAAGTGCAAGTTGCAAGTGCAAGGAGTCAAGTGCAATTGACTTGCGAGGAGTTAAAATCTCTTCTTAGGGCGGCGGGGTAGTGCCGACGACACTACACGAAAATCGACCCTCTGCGGGGATCGGCGTGGTCGAGGTGCAAAAACTCGAGGTTTTTTGCGCTTTTAACCTGCTCGCGCGACCCTCTGCGGGGATCGGCGTGGTCGAGGTGCAAAAACCCATGGTTTTTTTTGCGATTTTTGCGGTGCTCGCGCAACCCTCTGCGGGGATCGGCGTGGTCGAGGTGCAAAAACTCGAGGTTTTTTGCGATTTCTAAAGTTCCCGCGCGACCCTCTGCGGGAATCGGCGTGGTCGAGGTGCAAAAACCATGGTTTTTTGCGATGTTTAACCTGCTCGCGCGACCCTCTGCGGGGATCGGCGTGGTCGAGGTGCAAAAACTCGAGGTTTTTTGCGATTTCTGCGGTGCTCGCGCAACCCTCTGCGGGGATCGGCGTGGTCGAGGTGCAAAAACTCGAGGTTTTTTGCGATTTCTGCGGTGCTCGCGCAACCCTCTGCGGGAATCGGCGTGGTCGAGGTGCAAAAACTCGAGGTTTTTTGCGACTTTTGTTGTTCGAACTGGTCCTCGGGAGTTGTCTCGTGGTTCGCGCGCCTGCTCCCGGAACCGGCGGGTCGCGGGTTCGATTCCTCCCTGGTCCGCGGGCGGGCGTCGCAAGATGCAACTTGCATTTTAAAGCAACTTGCGCAGAGCAACTTGCGCAGAGCAAGTTGCACAGAGCAACTTGCGCAGACCAACTTGCACCGACCAGTTTGCGCAGAGCGCCTTGCCTAGAGCAACTTGCGCAGAGCAACTTACGCAGAGCAACTTGCACAGAGCAACTTGCACAGAGCAGCTTGCACAGAGCAACTTGCAGGCAGCGCAATTTGCATAGAGCAACTTGCAGGGAGCCACTGACCAACTTGCCGGAGCAACTTGCGCGGAGCAACTTGCGCAGAGCAACTTGCACAGTGCAACTTGCGTAGAGCAACTTGCGCAGACCAACTTGCACCGACCAGTTTGCGCAGAGCACCTAGTGCTGTCTCGCGCTTGCTTCACAAATGCTTCGTGTAGGGAAAAAGAACGCATCCTGCAGCGTTGGGCCGACCTCGCTTGCGATGTTCTGCTTTCGGGCCAACCGTGGTCTAGTTTTCTGTTCCTCCATCGTTCTGCAAAGGTTTCACGCTGTGCCGAGAGAATTGCAGTAGAGACATGTCATCCCTAGACTAAGTTGCTTTAACATAGGTTTTGACGGGCGCTCATGTGGATATTTCGCAGTGTCCAACAACAGTCAAGCCAGTGACACACCGAAGCACGCTAGGCGTGTGCAGAACGACCAGAGCATTGCCCTTGTTTTTCTTGTCCGCGGAACAGTGAAACGAAGCGGTCTGCGGCAGTGCTCGTTCGAGCAAAGGCTGAGCAGAGAATGCGATGACATCAGTGGCGGCTTCTCTTCCACAGACCAAGTTCCCCTGTGGTGGCTTGGTCAGGCTCTGGAGCTTTCTTGGTCTTGGAGCGCGCAACCGCAGCTCGGATCTTCCCGGTTATGGTAGGCAGTTGCCGCTTCCAACTTGGTGATGGTGCACGCCCAGTCCTGCAGGGAGTCCTGCACGCCATGGGTCGCGATCACCAATGCCAAGGTTTTATGCCCGAAGTAGCGCTGCCAGAAGAGCCGTTGCGCTTGTCGGGGCTTCTGGTTAGGCTCACATAAGTAGTCGCTGCACCAACGGAGCACCATTGCCATGCCATCCAGGGCTTTGCGATCATCTCCGCTGCACGTGTAGTTTGCGAAAGGACCTCCGAGGTAGGTCCAGCGAAGCAGCAATGCCCGGAAAATGTAGCGGAGCAACATGTCACCCAAAGCGGGATCGGAGCGATATTCTTGCTTGCGCACAAGTATCAACAGCGCATTCAATTCCTTGTGCGCATCTTGTGTCCGGGCAAAGTCGCGCCAGGTTGACAGGAAGAGCCGCGCCATATGCGTTGCCCATTGATATTTGCAGAATCGCTCAGCATCGTTGCTGCCATAGTGTAAAAAATCTGCGCGCGAATATTGGCATCCGTCCCATGTAAGCGTGTCCTGAGGCATGTCTGCTTCGCAGAGGTAAAGACGTCGTGGCAAAAGTGCCGCGGCGCAGCCATGCAAAGCGACAATGGCCACAGGGGGCTGTTCCAAAGCTACAGCACGTCTGGAGCGCTTAATGCGAGCCCCTGCCAGTGAGACGGAGCGGTCGCTGTCGCACCCAGGAGATCGCGTTCGCGAAGGTAAGCTGGAGTTTTGGCTCTGAGCCTCAGAGGCAGCTGGAAGTTTCGAGCGCGCAGCCGCAGCTCGTGCAGAAGCGCATGGCCGCGAGGGCGCAAGCACATCTGTGGCTGCTCGGCGCAAGGCTTCGAGCGGAGCAGCAGGAAGTTGCGATAGTTGAGGACACGCTCCATCTGCGCGATAGCGGGGAGCTCGAATTTGGGCCACTGCGCGCAACCGCAGCCGTGGCAACTGGTGTACGGGAATCTGCATCCTCGGTGCTGGACTCAGAGGCCCCACCGAAATCCGGGACAAGTCAGGCGAGTCCATGCCGCAACTCCAAGTCCAAAGCCCTATGCCTGTGAGAATGTATGTGCCAATATGTGTCAGTAAGATTTGTTTGGTTTTTGCATCTAGGGCCACCGGGCTTGAGCAGACGTCGCCGCGCAAATCATGCAGCGGGAGCTACAGGCAGGTGATACTTAGTGAAAAGAGTAAGCTCTTTAGCTACAGGCAGCTACATTCAGTCAGCAGTGAAAACAAAACATAGTTCGCAACGAAGTGAGAAGCGGACAAGCTCATGCATCAGTGCTTCGTTTCCCAACAATGTGGCCAAGTCAGTCGTTTTGAGGCAAGTCACTTTGTTTGAAACATGGCAAATAACCAAAATCTTCCTCGACTATTCTTGTCATTGCAGTCGCTGCGGCTCTTTTCCAATCACTAGAGCGAGTTTTCGTCTGGCCTCGCGCGGGCGTCGGGGACATGCAAAAACCGCGCTCTTGGCTAGGAAGCGCGCTTTGTGCCCTGCCTCCCAAAGGCACTTGCGCAGATGCTTGGAAAACGGAAGGTGTTATGTCAGAGTGGCCGACCACGCACTCTGGTGTAATTCAACCGCCCTTGGACGGCAGAGCCAGTGGAACAGACCACGGGCGTCGCGTCTCCAGAAGCAGTCTTGCCAAGGTGGAGACGGACATGAGTGGAACCGTCCGCCTGCTAGGCCTGGAAGTCTACGCGGGGGCAACCAGTGTTGGGATCTAGCTCGTCAGGAAAAGAAGCAACGCCGAAGCGGAGTATGCCAAATTCTCCGCAGGCAATGGCTTTGTCCGCGCTTGGGAACGTCGCGATGTAATCGCGCCAAGGGCACTCAGGGCAATTCCGCAGCTCTAGCCAGAAGCCTTGGTCTGGATGGCTCTTGTACCAAGTGCGATTGATTACATCCGTGTGCGATTGGAGCAGGAGACGCATGGCTTTGCGAGGAGGACGCACGCTAGCAGGCTCTGCGTCACGGGTGACCAACTCGTGCGTGGCGGCGGGGTCACGGCGAGGCATGACTGCAAGTGCCTCGGTTGTGGGGACACTGACAACCGCATGCGCCACATTTGTCGGCGAATGTGGCAGAGCTTCCATGCTGGCGGTTGTGAGGCCAGATCCGGTAACAAGGACGCGTGTTGCACCGCACTTCCCGCATGAGCAGCAGCGGCGTTCAACCAAGCCAAAGGCGTGGAGCGCTGCGTCATGTTCACTAGCGCGGGGCAAACGAGCAACAGGCTGTCGCTGCAAGAAAAGTTCTGAGGTCGACAGTCGGAAAGCAGAAGTGTCAACCAGAGCAAAGTGTGGAAAGAAGGTTGGTGGGGTTATGTTGTGTTTGTGTGCGTGAAGAGGCAGGTGTCACGTTGTCAAAAGTTTGAAAGACAGGAGCTTGCGAACCATTTAAGGGGACAGATAGGTGGACAGTAACATTTTCGACAGAGTCTGCAAGAACAAGAATGAGGAAAGGCAAAAGAAAGCCAGCCACGCACGTTACACAGTAGACCGAAGACAAAACCAGGCTTCAGAACATGGGACAGCAGCAGCGGTAGGGTGGACCACCGTCTGGAGCTGAGCATCCAATGGCCCGAACTCAATCATTGCGTTGCTGATATCGTGCGAAACACGGCACGCCAACTCCCAGACTTCGCGGCCCCGTGCAGCGCCGTAGTATTGGAGAAAGTCTTGCTCGGTGTAGGAATGTCCGTCAAACCCGGCGTTACGAAGGCGCCGGCGGCGCCATAGCTAGAAGAGCTGCGGGCGATAAGGCATCACCTGCGTCTCTAGCCAGCAGCTCCGAAGCAAGCGGGCCCCAAGCTTCCCAGTCAGATGGGTCCAACCGCAAATCCTTAGGCGGCGGCCGGACTGTCAGAGCCAGACCGGCCCGAGGCTGAGCGCCTGCGCTCATGGGGCTGGACGGCATTGGGCAAGCTTGTGTAGAGTTTTCCGCAGGATCGGCCGCTGAGCATTCAGCTGGCGTTGGATTTTGCGGACTGCGTGCACCCACAGCAGCCGGGAAAGCTTGTGCAGAGGTTGCCTCAGGATCGGCCGCTGCGCTGGGTTTAGATGGCGTGGGAAGTCGCGGACTGCGTGCACCCACAGCAGCCGCAGAGACTGGAAGACCTGGCCGCGGCTGAGCCCAAGGGACGGCGTCGTGGACGTCATCCGCTTCCTCACAAGCTGTGTCCTTTTGAAGAGGCCCGCGTGCTATTCCGCGGTTTGGACTAAGTGCAAGTTTCTAAATCTGTTTTGCTGTTCGAGCAGAAGTTACCAAATTTTGCGCACGCTAAACTTACGCTCTTTCTAGGTCAGGGCCTCGCCCGCGCGCGGGCCGCGGGCGCGGGGCCCCCGCCGCAGCTTCTGTGGCCCGGGTCCCGGGCCATTTTATCAAGGCCGGCTTCTCAAAGCGCAGTTGCCGTTTTATTAAGGCCCGGTGGTAACTTTATGATGGTTGCGGCGGAAAGGGCCAACCCTTAGGTTTGCCCAGCCGCTATTGCGCCGCATAAGCAGTTTATCAGCGGCTCGGTTCCTCCCTAGCGCGCGCTGTTTTTCGTGGGCAATGTTTTTCGTGGCCGCGCCGTGGCTTTCCTCTTCTGGCATTCAAGAAAAGCGTTCGTTTCCATTATCCTTGATCGGCTCTCTGAGCACTTTCGCGGTCGGGCAATTAAGAAAGCGCGGCAGCCTTTCGTCATCATTGCGCTTGATCCGCTCTCTGAGCACTTTCGCGGTTGAAACGCTCTTGGCTCTGCGCGGCGCAGAACTTCGAAGCTGGTGGGGCGTGCTGCAACTCAGCTAAACGCAAACTCGAAATCATCGCCAAGCCGTTAGGGCTGCTTCATGAAGCGCTTCTCAGCGGACGTGTTTCCTGGCCCCTTGCGCACAGAAACTCGCAGCTACTCTCTGCCCTTGCAACATATTGCTTGCCGCCTGCCAATTTGTCTTGTTCGCTGCTCGCCGATTTTTGCAATTCGTCACCTGCTTTGTCGGTCGCGCTGCGCGCGCGCCCTCTCGCCGCTTTGCTTTCGCTGCGTTCGATTTGTTCGTTTGCGCTGGTGTGGAAGCTGGCCCTTGGTAGCGGGCCTGGGTGGGTGGGATTGAGATCGAAGCTTTTGATTGACGTCGCTATGAAGATTTCCATGTCTCAAATCCTGTGAACCCTAAACCCTAAAGTCTAAGCCGAGCCCCCCTAACCCTGAAAGGGACGAGGCTTCGCCGGAACGACAGTGGAGCGCCCTCTTGCCTTCCGGGCAAGGAGGAGTCTCCGAGCAAGACAACATAACGGGTGCTAGCCCGCGGCAGTGCTGCCTATACCAGTAAAGGTAAACACCCTAAATCCTACACCCGGTTGGTTGCGGGGACCGCCCCTTCTAAATGTGAGCTTGGCCAGCCAATTCTGCTCCAAGCTAAATCTGGCTTGTCCAAAAGCCTTGCTCATAGCTTCGGGCTAGCTCAGCTCTCGCAAGCAATCGGGCTCCAAATCTACGAGCTTTGGCAATTTCTCGCCTGTTGAAATCCTGGATCTAGGCTTGACCGGCCGCTGATAAATTGTTCATAAGGGGGCAATATAAAAATTGCCATCCGGGCTCCAAATCTAAAGCCTTAGCCACTTGCTTTTTGCACGGCCGCTTCTTTGCTTCTCGAAATCCTGGATCTGGGCTTGGCCGGCCTGATAAACTGTTCGTATGGGGCAATGTAAAAATTGCCATCCGGGCTCTAAATCTAAAAGCTTGGCTATTTCTTTCTGTTGTTCTAGCCGCTGACACAATGTGTAAAAATTGCAATCTGGTCTTGAAATCTACAGCCTTGGCCATTTCTTGTTTTTCGCAAGGCAACTTGTTTCTTCTCTTCTCGAAACCGTGGATCTGGCCGCTGATAAACTGTTCGTACGGGGCGATATAAAAATTACCATCCAGGCTCCAAATCTAGAGCCTCAGCCATTTCTTGCTTTTTATACGGCGACTTGTTTCTTTCCTGTAACCCTGGATCTGGGCTTGGCCGGCCGCTGATGAACTCTTCATTCGGGGCAACGCAAACATTGTCATCCGGGCTCCAAGTTTAAAGATTCGGCCATTTCTTGCTTTTCATACGCCCGCTTGCTTCTTTCATCTTGAAATCCCGGATCTGGCCGCTGATAAACTGTTCATGTGGGGCAAGGTAAAAATTGCAATCCGGGCATTAAATCTAGAGGGCTCCAAATCTAGAGCCTTTGCCACCTGCTTCTTTTTTGAAAGATTGGATCTGGGCTTGGCTGGCCGCTGATCAATTGTTCATATGGGGCAATGCAAAAATTCTCCTAGCTGCTTGCTCTTTTCGACGTTACAATCGCGCGGTTGATCGATAGAACGGTAAAGACCAGCGCCGGCGTCTTGTCAGCAGCGGCCCATATCTAGAGGATCCGCTCAAACTGCTGGGCGTCCAGCTGCGAGACCTCGTCGACTACCACCAACCAGGTACGCCCGTGCGCTCGTCCGCGCTCTGCTTCCACAGGTAGAAGGCTGCAGCGCACGTGTCCACGTCCGGGCGCCTAGCCCACACTGGCGGCCGCGCGCGCCCGCCCCCGGCATACCCGCGCTGTTGTCGATTGAATTTCAGCTCTCGCTCTGCCAAGACGGGAAAGTCGGCCGCTTCAAGGCTGCCGCGCGCCGCCGCGTCGTCCCCCTTGATCAAGACGTCGGAGAGGCGTTGCCCCAGAAGATAGCGCTCAGCTTTGTGAGCGGTAGCTTTGTGAGCGGCTCACACTTTGGCTGTCGACCTCTCCCGTTCCACTCCAAACTATATCATCCCCGTATTACGTCCGGCGCTCCCCAGACTCTGGGCGACGCCGCTAGCCGGCCCCGCTCTTCGACCCGGGCTTGTGCGCCTCGCCCCGTCCGCGCTCGCCTTCGCCTCGCGCCGCCGGGGCTCGCGCCAACTTCTCTCTTTCTTCTGGAAACATGTCGTTGGAAAGATGTCGTGCTCCGCGCAAAATTTGCAATAAGAACGAGAAACCCCGGCCCGAAGGTATCTCTCTAGCTCCGGGTGGA